AGTCTGCGTCGCTGTACGCATGCAGGCCGAGCTTGTGGTCTACACACTTTTTAAAACACAGCTCTTTATCAGAAGTACCTCTCAGATACCTTAAGACATGTTTGACAGTAGTCCATTGTTGTTCGGTTGGTTCAGAGAAGTACTGAGACAGTTTACTGGTAACATAACTCAGATCCGGTCTAGTACATGTAGACAAATAGATAAGACTACCCACTGCCTCTCTATACTTTCTAACATCCATCATCTTTGTTTGTTCATTATTGTAGTCTAGTCTCTGTTCACATGGGGTGGTTCTTACTTTACAATCTTGCATGTCAAATCGTTGTAAAATCTTTTCAACATATTTAGTCTGAGACATTTTTACACAATCAGTACTTTGATTAAAATCAATTCCAACAAAATGTTTTAGCTGTCCTAGGTCTTTCATTTTAAATCTGGTAGACAAGACTGTCTTGATATCCTTCAGTACTTTTAGATCTGACGCTGCTACCAATCGCCTCACGCTCATAAGTGACCAAAACAAAGCAGCATGGAGACACTCCGTCTCCAACCACCTCTCAGGCAGCAGCCTGCTCTCCCAAGTTCTACATGTCACCAGAACACAACCAACCAACACAATAAAAGCAGTGTTATACAAAATGGAAGGCCTGTAGTGTTTATTCTCTTACAGTAACAATTTATCCTTTTTTTTTGAGGAATTTATTAGAGATTTTCTGGTTTTTATTATTTGTGCAATAGAAAAATAATCACTAGATTAATTGTCTAAATAGTCATTAGAATAGTCGACAATTCGATAAAATAATTGTCAGAATAATCGCTTTTAAAAAAATCGTTTACCCCCTGCCTTAGGTGCGGCTCACTTGACCGCAGTGTTCATTTACAGGCATTAGCAGCGTTGTAGCTAGGGTTGTCACGGTAACCGGTGTAGCGGTAAACCCCGGTAAAAGAGTTGACAAAAATAATAACCGTCTTGTTTTTAAAAAATATATTATCTCGGTGGATTACCGTGGCTGTGGTGTAGGCGCGGTGACCCTTACCAGCCACCGTATCATCTGCTGAAGTTGCCGGCGGCACATGCGCACTTTGTTGTTTACAACCAAAACTTTCTTGAAGCTAAAGCTGAAATAATGGCCAAAGGAGGAGACGGCAGCGCCCAGGACATTTTTTTATCCCTCAAAGAAGACAAAGTGGGAAGTACGGGCATCTTTTGGATATTTGAAGAATGCCGAGGGACAGTTGATAGAAGACGGCTATCCTGTTTGCAGCACGTGCAGAAAAAGTGTCTGTGAAACTAGGGCTGGGCGATATGGCAAAAATAGAATATCACGATTTTTCTAATATTTTATCACGATTTCGATTTTATCACGATTTTTATCCATGAATAGCATAACTTCAATTGCGTATTAAAGAAGAGAAACATTGAATAAATAAACATTTATTCATATTAGGGATAATCAACACAGTGCTAACACACTTATATTTTAAACTCACACCAGAGATGATAAAAGCCCTGAGAGAAACAATTATAAAAATCAGTTTTTCTCGTTTTTCAAGTAACTTAACATAAATTAAAATCGTAAACATATTTAAAGTGCAAACATGTCAATTGCAAACGTATTGTGCAAACATTAACTTGTTCAAAATACTATGTAGCTCCCAGTTGCTCGTGTAGTGGATAGTTAAGCTCAAATACGGCTCTGATGTGCGGCTGGACCAGAGATCGCTTGTGGTAGCAAATAACTGCGCATTCTGAATATTTTCTGCAACTCTCACTTTGCATTCAGCGTACATGCGTGGAATGGCGGTGTTCGAAAAATACTTGCGGCTGGAAAACTCGTAGAGCGGATCCAATGTTATTATCATGTTCTTAAATCCCGCTCCTACTGTTCGCACGGGACACAAATCTTTGACCAAGTGGTACGCCACTGCATCGGTCACGCTGTTCCATCGTCTGCTGTCTCTGTCGTAGGGAGTGAGTTTTGTGCGTGTTTGTCAGCGTTTGCTGCCTGGAAGAAGCGCTAGCCGCTGCAGCCGCAGGCTTTTTAGCTTTAGCTGCCAGCTGGCTCTCATTGCATTGTTTGGGATGCCTTCTTTTCAAGTGATTAAACAAGTTTGTGGTGTTGCCATCACTTGCCTTGACGCTCTCCTTGTAAACTTTGTAAATGACGTTTCGCAGCTCTTTGTCATCTGGAGAAAAACCAAACCAGTTCCATATAACGGACGAGGCGTTCCTCTTCGGAACGAAAACCTCGTTGTCGCTCTCAGCCGCGGCCGAAGCCATGTTTGTTCAGACACAGGTGAAAACAAGCGGGGCACTAATATATTACCGTGACTCACTCTGATTGGTTAAGGGCCAAACAAAGGCGTGTCATTCGCCTGGGGTAAGTTCCCTTTTCATTCAGAGGCAGAATTTCAACAGCAGAGCTGTGAATCGTGATAAAATGGTCTCTCAAAAATGACAGACCGTCAGATGTGTAGATCGTAAAACGGTCTAAAATCGTCATATCGCCCAGCCCTATGTGAAAGGCAGCAACGCTTCAAATCTCATGACACATCTGCGTGACCATCACCCACAACTCTACAGTCAACGCAAGGCAAGCTAACGTTAGTGTTTTAGCTAAAATGCGTGATCCGAGGATTTGGGTTGAGGGAGAATGCAACGAGTCGCTATATAAAGCAGCCGCAACGCCGCTACCTGCATATAAACCGTGTCGCGGACACCGTCATGTTGAAATGAAGCTATGCATTACGGGGCTCCCAGGGGCAGATAAGAGTTGGTCTCTCTCCGAGAATAATCATGAATTTAACAATGATTACTGCCTGATGACATTTTCCCACATCTGCAAAGCTCACTGGAAGGACACAAACCGAGGACAATATTTTCCTGATATAGGGTTTATTACTCAAGTAAGGGTATAAAAGTATCTGATTAGAAGGCTACTTGAGTACTGAGTATCATTTGATGTAGTATTTTTAAAATAATGACATCACACAGACAAAAAATAAGAAGTTATGGGCATTATTGGTATTTTAAAGACTAAAGAGGAAAAATGTAAACAAATAAACAACATAATTACAAAATAACACATTTTAGGCAAAATTTAGACACAAACCGAGGACAATATTTCCTGACATACAGTGTTTATTTAGTTGTCTGAAAATGTACCACGTTTAGAAAAATACCGCGATAATACCGGAAACCGTGATAATTTTGGTCACAATAAACGTGAGGTTAAATTTTCACACCGTGACAACCCTAGTAGCAACAAACGGACACCATTGAAGGTAATCAGAAGTGAGGAACAGAAAATGAAATGATTCTTTCAATGTTTAGATCAGCAGGAACTCTGAGAGGCTGCAGGCGCATCAGTGAGTTTGCGGCCGCTGCGCAGGGGGAGGGGGGACACTAGTCAGTGACTTGATGCAAGTTGCTGGGTTCCTTATATAGGAAACATTATTTCTGATTGGCTTAATGAACTGACCTGAATTGGAATGTTTATTATGTGAAGTGCCTTGAGATGACTCTTGTCATGATTTGGCGCTATATAAATAAAATCGAATTGAATTGAATTGAGAGAGCTGAAGCAGGCAGTAAAGATGCAAAAACTACCGTTGTTAAAAAAAATGTGTGTTAACTTAGAAAATGTCGGCGCAAGTTTAATTGTCAACATTTTTCTCCATTGTTAGGAATGCTGCACAAAAAAAAAAGACTGCTGCTCGCGTGGGCCCCCTTGTGGCTGTGGGCCCCTGTGCCCAGTTTGCCCGTATTATAATCCGGCCATGCTGTTGGGTATTTTTATATCCTTAAAATAAACCACACAAGGGAACGGATCAAGCAGAGGATATGTCTCTCTGAGTTCTCTCTCTCCACCACAGACTTTTTATTAAACACAGGAGAAATGAAACAAAGAGCAGTTAATCACTAGACACCACACCTTCTATTCTAGCCAATAACAGAGCTGTTCTCAGGCTGGGTCTTCCCTAAGGGGAAGGATCCATTTTATGGAGTTGCTTGCTGGTCAGCCAAAAACTGCTGAGTCACTCAGAAACTATGGATTCCTGTTGCCGGGCAGATTCTTCCACCAACCCCCACAGAGACAAATTACATGTCTTATCAGCATACCAGAGCTGGGCTGAAAGGACAAAGCCCTGAGACTTACCCCCAAATTCCACTTCCTCCGCTCCGCTCCGACACGAACGGCGGAGCAAAATCGGTCCCGTTCTATTCAATCAGAGCAATTCCACTACTGCAGCCGTGCTCCGGCAGTGCGGCGCCGTGCGCCGCCCTCTGTTCCGGCGTCCGGCAAAAATAGAATCGATCCTATTTTTGCCGGACGCCGGAGCACCTCCGCCGTAAATGGACAGAAATCACAACGGCCCAACAGGAAAAGGAGCAAGCACAATTTCCGTTTTTCACAATAAATCGATAAACAAAAGGCGTTTTTTGTTTCATATGCACAGGTTTAACAACTTTTAACAACTATCAATGGCGGCTGAAGTTTAAATGCACAAAAGTAAGCCATAAATACAGTTTCCACTATCAAAGTAGTCACACTTTGTTGATCCAAACACTGCTGATCTCTCAACACAAATGATGGGCAGATTAAACAGTTCATGCCGATGCTTCTCCCACACAACGGGTGTTTGGATCTAACTTCCGCGTTTACTGCTCGGACTGTATCGCAAGATCTCGAAAATCCCGCGCGTGCTTGTTTGCCCACCTCAGGTCTCCGCACCGGAGCGGAGCCGTTGTAGAGCGGGTAGCAGTCAAAATTGAGTTTGGAAGCGAGCGGCTGCGGAAGGCGGGGGCGGACCGGAGCGGAGGTAGTGGAATTTGGGGGTTACTTTAAAACATGATTACTTAAAAAGAACATTTAAGACAGGAAAATACATTAAAGCTTTAACTCTCACCGACACTCGTCTGTATGAGCGTCAGAAATCTGATCAAATCAGCTGTAAAATAATGAAAACAACAGTAAAAATGCTCCTTTGCTTTTTAGAGTCCACATCCAGAAGGCTGGAGCCGTGTTTCACTGACAGGCTGTCAGACTAACGCCCTGATGAGCTCAGCTGGGACAAACTGGTCTGATGTTTAGGTAAGTGAAGATCTGCTTCTCCAAGGCCTTGAGATGCTAGTAAAAATAATGTAGGCAGTGCTAATGTTACTTTTCTTCTCCTCTGAGGAACACAGAACGCTCAGATGTTGGAGCTTCACGTCACCTACTGAGGAGCACCAGTAAAGAGACGGCGTCTGGACCAGACCCAAGTGAGTGATGACACTTTAGCCCTACACCTCAGCCTCTAGGAGCCACCCTCATCATCATTAACTCATTCACTGCCATTGGCGACAAAAGTTGTCATTTTAAAAGGAACCCAGGTTACAAAACTCTGTGCTTCTTAAAAGATAAATGTTAGTATCAGTTGTATTAAAATGGTGTAAAAACCTTCTTGATGTCTTAATCTTTATAAAATTAGTAAAAATGGTTTAACTCGTAGGTCGCCATTGTTGTTAGCGTCGCACTGCACTCTGGGTAGTGACGTCATATGGTTGTACCTCGGTTGCACCGGCGGCTTTGGGACCCTGTAGTGACTGTTGAGCGACATCAACACGTCATCTGTTCAGCCTTTTCACTTTGAACCAGAGCGAAACATTAATGATGACATCACTGACCATGTGTCACAACACGAGCATCAACATGAAGAGCAAGAAGGGCGGGATGAAGCGAGAGCAGGACAGAACCGGTGGCGCGTGTGCGGCAAATGCGTCTCCGTGGTAACCGAGAGGGAGAGAGCTCACATTTGTGTCAGCAGAAGTTCTCTGTAAGCTATCGTAACGTGATGAAGGAGCTATTCCTCAAAGGTTATTTAACCCTTTCCACAGTTCCCTTTGACACAGCACCACTGTGACTTGGATTTGGAAAATAATTTTCTTTCAAGGATCTCTTGTTGTAGCAAGTATTACTCAGATGATCGGTTTAACCAGCGTATAAAGGCTGAGGACAGGTTTTCCGTAATTCACTTTAACAGTAGGAGTATTTGTGCAAATCTTAATAGAATTAAAGAATATTTGGATGACATCAATGGCACATTCAGCGTAATAGCAATATCAGAAACATGGCGGAAGGATGATTGTGACCTTAGCTTTGAATTGGATGGCTATGAAGCCAATTACATTAATAGACAAAATAAGAGTGGAGGAGGTGTTGCAGTATATGTTGATAAGAATTTAAATTACAAAGTTGTAAAAAAATGTCATTTTCAGTTGATAATTTATTAGTGTGCATGTCTATAGAAATATCAAAGTCTAATATGAAAAACATTGTTGTCAGTTGTGTATACAGGGCACCTGGGTCTGACACGCATGCCTTTTTAAAATGGTTCGAAGGAACCTATTCAACACTTCAGAAGACAAACTTCATTTGTGGTGACTTTAACATTGATCTCCTAAATCCTAACAAACTGGAGAAAATAGATGAATTTATTAATACAGCATATAGTTTAAGCCTTTAGCCGACAATTACTAAACCAACTAGAGTAACTTCACACTGTGCAATATTAATTGATAATTTACTAACAAATAACATAGAGAATGATATAATAAGTGGTCTCTTAGTTAATGATATTACTGACCACTTACCAATTTTTATAATTTATGATGATAATTATAGGAATAATAATCCAGGTAATAGTATAAGGTACAGACGAATATGAACAGTTAATACAATGAATGCCTTGAAGAACGAATTGATAAGACAGACATGGGAGGAAGTGTACCAGCAAACTGATGCTGACAAGGCTTATGAGACCTTTGTAAGAATATTTATTTCATTGTATGATAAGAATTGTCCCTTAACAAAATTTAGTAGCTCAAACAAAAGGGATAATCAACTATGGATGACGAAGGGATAAAGTGTGCCTGCAAAAAGAAAAATAATTTGTACAGGTTGTTTATAAATAAAAAACTCCAGAAGCTGAACATAAATATAAAATATATAAGAATCAGCTTACCAATATAATAAGAAAATGTAAAAAGGAGTATTATTATAAAAGCTGTGAAGCTACTGGAGAGTTCCGTTGTTTACCAACAAGACGACGTCCCTTCAAAATAAGAGCACCACTAGCTGACGCTGCCGATGGTACCGGGGTCGACCCTTCAGACGGGCTTTGACGTGCTGTGACCGCTGCTTCAACCAGCTCCAGTACACATCCGAGGTCCTAGGACCTGGCATTTCCTGATCTACCTGGGAGACTCCACAGGGTACGTACACGGCAAAATAGCTGCTCATGTCATCAGCCTCCGAAGCCTCGTGGTCCGTAGTCATAACAACCAGATACGCTCCGTCAGCCTAAAGATCCTGAACAACACACACACACACACGCACCAACACAACATCCAAATCCATTTTCATCCATCACAGAGTTAGTCCTGGTAGATTGTTAAGAATTTATAATTAAGAAATTAAAGATTCTTAAACGATCCCAACTCTCTCTCTTTTCTTGTCTCAAAGTTAATACAGAGTGTTTAATTAAACTCCCTGATGATAAAAACAGCCCATCTTCTGATTATAAAACTAGATCTACTTACAGTATATTAAAATACAACTCTAGATCGTTACATGACTCTATTTCACTACAGTGACGAGTGGCGTGTCCGATGGTTGGCTGAACGTGACAGAAGCAGCCGGAGCGGGTTATGGGCTCAGGACAGCGTCTCTCGTCCCTCCGAGGGCGTTTAGGCTCCTTGTGTGGGAAAATGGTCGCTAAAGCATTTAGTTTCAGCCTTCTCTTATACCCAGCCGCTCTGGTGAGCTCTTTAAGTAGTCATGGTCGACTATAAGCCTCAAACGCATCAGGAGAAGAATGTTGGGAACACAGCCGCGGATCTTTGGGAAGTTGTGTCCGTCCACAGGCATCTTCCCTCTGCTGTCTCCTCTTGTTGCCAGTGGGAAGAAGAGGAGAAAGCAGTGTTATTTTAGTAATTAAACGCTTTAATTTAGAATTTGATTTTCTTCATTTGAGCCAAATACAGCGATCGTATTTTACTTTAGTACCTCCTCAGCACCTTAAAAATGTTTAATAATCAACAGCAACAGTGTGATTTCTGTATTATGCCAACACACGGCTGCCAGCCGGCGTTGCGCCTATATAGTGGCCGCGTTAAAGCGGCGCTTTTTATGTAGTGCCCACGTTAGTGTGGCTTTTCCCTTTGATCTGCTATTCTGTATTATTACCGCCACACCTGTGACCGCTGGGGGTTGGACTGAATGCGTCCATTCAGCTCTGTTTACAACCTTTTCCGGTAGCGTCCGGTGACCGTTTTTTTCTTTCATGTTTGTTTCACACAGTTTTTAACCGGACAGCCGGACCTAGGGCAATACCCGACTCCCGTCGGGGCTCAAAGCGTCCTTTGACGTACTCACACTGGCAAACAGCTGTTTATGAAAAGGTGCGTATCAAAAAGGTACTTACTCCCCCCTGTGCGTTCAATTCGCCCCGAATCCGAACGTACGAGAGCCGTAGGCGGGAGACGTTCTGCGGAGCTAGAACAGCCGGCCAGCGGAGCAAGTCAGCCCCCTGGGCTTTGATGAAAGCGGCGCCTCGTCGGCTCCCCGGAGAAAGCCTCCCACGGCTGGGTCTGAGCGCACGGTCACGGTACCAAAAATGTTGGGTTATTGTTTAATAAACCAGGTCACCTTGAGAGAAGTCAAACGCACAGAGGCTTAGAGCAATATTACTGTTCCATTTTACTTTGTAAAGTGGAGAGACGAAATGAATACACACCCAAGCATCTTTCACAGGATCTCTCGGGGAACATCCGTTCTCTGAGGGTTTTTATTAGCAAGCACACACAACACATCACATCACACTCCTAAACTGCTCCGTAGAGATTCAGGTGGAAAGCTGTTTAACGTAGGGAGTAAAAACAATACCACAACTCCCTCAAACAAAACCAGGTGCATTCAGTCAACATGCTGTTTCCCATGGGAGTATAACTGATAATGCAGACCAGCGTGGTCTGAGGAAGGTTGTTGTCCTCCCTGTTGGACGGGGAGGCTGGCACAGGATAACACTTGTATTTTAATGAAGCAACAGATGTTTTACTTATAAGGCAGTTATGATTTTAAGCAATAATGTCAGCGATCAGCAGTTTTTCTCTATCAGTTGCTCTTCTATCAGCTTGAGTCAGTCGGCCCATTCTCCTCTGACCGCTAGCATCAACAAGGCATTTGGCCCACAGGACTGCCGCATACTGGAAGTTTTTCCCTTTTCACACCATTCTTTGTAAACCCTAGAAGTGGTTGTGGGTGAAAATCCCAGTAACTGAGCAGATTGTGAAATACTCAGACCGGCCCGTCTGGCACCAACAACCATGCCACGCTCAGATTAGCTTAAATCACCTTTCTTTCCCATTCGGACCTTCAGTTTGGAGTTCAGGAGATGGTGTTGACCAGGACCACGCCCCTAAATGCAGGGTGGTAGAGACGTATGGAGACGGTCGTTCTGAGACATGAGACTGTGTGTTTTTGGTGAACATTAATGCAGGAGTGTGTAAAACAGCTCATGTTTAATTAAAATTAAATAAAATATTTATTTAACTTGACATAAATTGTAATGCTTGACTGTTGTGCTACAGCCATGGGAGGAACATTTTGGGTCCCAGCCAGATTCTCTGCTTCCCTGCTGCTCTCTCCATCATCATGCTGCTCCTTGCTCTGCCTCTCCACTTGTCTCTCCTTCACTCACCTCCTCCACTTCAGCCTACTTGTCTAATATATTAGCCACATGTTAGATTCCCTTCAGTCACCAATAGGAACGTTGGGAATATCACACGTATCACGGTACAGATCACTCAGAGGGAACTGGGTCACGATAAAGAACAATGAGCATCTTCATCTAACGTTACCTCAACATCTTCCTCGGCTTCCTTCCTCTTCTTCTGAAAATGCGAGCAGAAATGAGTCTCGGTGGGAGCATGACCCGACATGAAGCTGTACGCTGTTACCGATCTGGAATTACGCATTAACGACACACCACATTGACTATGTTACTGTTCACGTGTAGCAGCGTGCGTTAGCATGAAGCTGGTTTTCACAGGTCTGAACTAAAAATGCCTTCTTCTAACGTAAGGTTCCTTTCTTCCACCTTTTCTCTCCCTGTAGTTTTCTTTAACTCGTGAGAGCAGCGCACCGCACAGAAGCCGACTCCTTCGCACACGGGGAAAACGGCAGTACTGGTTTTTCAAAGTAAAATACATTTTAAAGTTTTGTTATATTTAAATTCATTTTAAACTGTGATAATTCATTCTCTGTAGTTTTGTGTCAGTTTAAGGAAGAAGGAAGAGCTCCTGAAGAACTGAGGCCTCCTTTGAACCAGAAGGACATGGAGCCCCTCAACATGAAGCAGGAAGAGGAGGAGCAGCTTGATGAGATCAAAACTGATGCCACCAACATTTCATTCTCTGCAGTTTCTCATCAGGTTAAGGAAGAAGGAAGAGAAGTTCTGTTGTCACAGTTTGATCAGAACCAACCTAAAGACAGAGATCTTCCAACCAGCAGCACCACTGACCAGATGAAAGCAGAAAGTGGTAGAGTGGACTGTGGAGGAGCAGAAACTACCAGGAATCCAGATCTAAATCTTTATGAATATGATTCTAACTCTTCAGAGACTGAAGTCAGCAATGATGAAGATGATGACCAGGATGGCAACAATTCTGACTGTCAGCTGAAACTCTTGTCAGATTCTGAGCCAAACACCAAAGATGATAACAAAGACCGGAAGGAGAGCAGGTCTTCTAAATCACATGTTAAGGCTGTCAAATCTTTCAGCTGCCCAGAGTGTGGTGAACAGTTTCTCCAAGAGCGGTCTCTCCAGAAACACATGAGAGTGACAAGTCATTCAGGACTGAAGTCTTCAAGCTGTTGTGTTGATAAGAAACGTGTTAGAGTGAAGCAAAATGTAGACTCTAGCAGGAAAGTTCAGACAAAACTAAAATCATTTAGTTGTGACGACTGTGGAAAAAGTTTAGGCTGCATATCATCTTTAAACAGACACATGAGTGTCCATACAGGACAGAAGCCTTTTGCTTGTGAGCTCTGTGGACAAAGATTTATCCGAAAGTACCATTTAGGCACTCACATGAGAGTCCACACAGGAGAGAAGCCTTTTACTTGTGAGCTCTGTGGACAAAGATTTATCCGAAAGGACATTTTAGGCATTCACATGAGAGTCCATACAGGTCAGAAGCCTTGTGCTTGTGAGCTCTGTGGACAAAAGTTTAGCCAAAAAATTACTTTAAACAGACACATGAGAGTCCACACAGGACAGAAGCCTTTTGTTTGTGAGCTATGTGAAAAAAGATTTAGAGTAAAGTCAAGTTTAAACATTCACATGAGAGTCCACACAGGACAGAAGCCTTTTGCTTGTGAGCTCTGTGAAAAAAGATTTAGTTTAAAGTCAAGTTTAAACTGTCACATGAGAGTTCACACAGGACAGAAGCCTTGTGCTTGTGAGCTCTGTGGACAAAGATATAGTGATAAGTCAAGTTTAAACTGTCACATGAGAGTCCACACAGGACAGAAGCCTTTTGCTTGTGAGCTCTGTGGACAAAGATTTAGTCGAAAGACACATTTAACCACTCACATGAAACTCCACACAGGAGAGAAGCCTTTTGCTTGTAATCTCTGTGGAAAGAGATTTACCCAAAAGGGAAATTTAGACACTCACATGAGAGTCCACACAGGAGAAAGGCATTTTGCCTGTGAGCTCTGTGGACAAAGATTTAGTCGAAAGACACATTTAAACACCCACATGACAGTCCATACAGGACAGAAGCCTTTTGTTTGTGAGCTCTGTGGAAAAAGATTTACCCGAAAGGGACATGTGGACACACACATGACAGTCCATACAGGACAGAAGCCTTTTGCTTGTAAGCTCTGCGGACAAAGATTTACCCGAAAGGGACATTTAGACAGACACATGAGAGTCCACACAGGACAGAAACCTTTTGCTTGTGAGCTCTGCGGACAACAATTTAGTCATAAGACAAGTTTAAACAGCCACGTGAGAGTCCACACTGGACAGAAGCCTTTTGTTTGTGAGCTCTGTGGAAAAAGATTCACACGCAAGGGACATTTAGACACACACATGAGAGTCCATACAGGACAAAAGTGTTTTGCCTGTGAGCTCTGCGGACAAAGATTTAGTCATAAGACAAGTTTAGACAGACACATGAGAGTCCATACAGGACAGAAGCCTTTTGCTTGTGAGCTCTGTGGACAAAGATTTACCCAAAAGGGAAATTTAGACACTCACGTTAGAGTCCACACAGGTCAGAAGTCTTTGGCCTGTGAGCTCTGCGGACAAAGATTTAGTAATAAGACAAGTTTAGACACTCACATTAGAGTCCACACAGGACAGAAGTCTTTTGCCTGTGGGCTCTGCGGACAAAGATTTAGCCATACGACAACTTTAAACAGACACATGAGAGTCCACACAGGACAGAATAAATGAACATAAATAAAATATATATTTTGGGACTTCTGAGGGTGTTGAATGAAATGTGCTACTGATCTGGAAGCTCTTTTAACTAAAATGAAAGGCAGCAGTTTTATTAAATGTTTTGTTTTTGGAGAAGAAAAGGTTGAAAATGAAATGTTTGTTTGCCACTAAAGTGTTTTACTAAATCTCTTCACTATTCAGTTTGTTGTTTGCTGTTTCTGGAGTTTAAACGTAAATGCTGATGTTTTGCAAAGTGAGAAGGCTCGCCATCAAAGTCACCAGATTAATCCACTCGTGTAATTATCTGTCATGCAAATAAACCTGATCAAAAATTAATACCTATATTATCCATATTGTTTGGCATCCAAATACAATTGGAAACTGATTCACAGTTAGCAAAAGTATAAATCTGGTTTTCTCAAAAATCAGACTTTGGTGCAACAGTTATTAACCAGAATATGTACAATGAACTGTTTTTAACAGCATTCAAACAAATATTATCATAAACACTATTGAGACGTCATTTATGAAATACAAGTTATTTTTGTTCACCATTACTTCAACCAAATAATAAGATGCATGGATTTGAGGAACCACACTGTCTCATGCAGTCCTACATGTGTAACACACACACACACACACACACACACACACACACACACACACCACCTTTACCAAACCCTAACTTTTAAATGCCTTTTTAAAGTGTATTTGAAATATCTTCCAGTTCATTTTCTACCACAAGGTGTGCACCAGCACTGTTACGTCCCCGACATGTGTTGGTAAAATGTGAAGGATGGGGATGACATAATGTAACCAGGTCACCTTAGTTCCCGGAAGTAATTCTGGTTGACGTGTCATGCCGCTGACACAGGGGAGGCCAGGTGTGTAATCAGAGGGCTGCTATAATTAGGGCAGCTGGGGTCTAGCCGCAAAAGCGGAATGCCTCGCTTTGGGCGTGGACGTGGGTGCAGCTAAGTGGTGAGTGACCTGGCTTTGCTTCAGTTTAGTTAACGGTTATATTTTTAATCGGCTTCTCTTTACGAAGTGTGAGCAGGACTGAGGGGTGAACAGCCGGAATTTTCAGTGGCAAGCGGTCGGCTGATGAGGTACTGGTTTACAACATTCACAGCATTTTTATGTTCCGTTAGAATAGGACTAACAATGCGTGTTTTGTTCACAGACCTTAGCCTGCTACTGTTTTTTCCAGTTCTTTTATTAAATCTTTTCTAGTTCTTTTATTAAACCATTTGCTGGTTTTATCTTATTACTAATCGTTTTCTCCAGAGGGGGAAGGAAGCAAACTTGTTTGAGTCGGGTGGTTAGTGTTAAGCACAGTGCTGTCTCTGGGAGGCTAGTTTCTTTTAGAGTATCCGCTGTAGGGGTTTGTCGGGGGTTTTACTCACTTCTGGGTGGTGTGTATGAGCTTTAGTCAAAGGGAGCACTGAGTGTTTTTCTTTATATTATTGTCTCTTGTCTCGGGTCCCTACAGCGGCTTTGTGCTTTTAAATAGTAGTTGGATGGCGTTGTGTGTAGTCCCAGGGCCAGCATTGTCGTCGCTCCTCCCTCTCGTGCTTTAGAGTTTTAGCCTATTTTTATCCCGACCTGGGTTGTCTTTAATAAATCTCCTGTGCTGTGTCTTCTAAATAAAATTGTTAAACTTGTGAATAAGCCTCTGCTGTTTTCATCAAGGGTTATTATTACCTACGGTTTTAGGATCTAAGCATCCAACCCTCTAGGTCACAATTGGCGTTGTTGGCAACTTTTTGAAAAAAGTAGATGTGCTGTGAAGATACTTTAAAACAGCTGGTTTACTGAATAGATCGGGTGTAGGAGTAGTTTTCTGGAGTTTTTATCTTTCTTTCCCCCCGTTTTTTTCTCTTTAACTGGAACAGTAGCAGGTTTAGGGTGGAGCCACAAGCCTGATGGAAAGTGGTGTAGCGCTGAGCGACAGGACCGTGGATCAAGGCACAATGGATGCTGAGCTACAGGAGCTACGGAGCAAGCTGCGGCGGCTGCAGGAGGAGAATCAACTTCTGCAAGAGACAAATGAGGATAAACAAGACTCACAACCCTCCACATCAGGTGGCACATGTCATGCAGAAAGGGAATCAGCCACAGAACGGATTCTCTACATTCCGAGGGAACGAAAGTGTCCCGTCTTTAGAGGTACTGTTGGGATTGGAGTGACTGATTGGATAGCGGAGGTCCGGGCAAGCCTGAGGGCAAGGTATTTATCTCCTTTGGATCAGGCTTACTTTGTCACCTTGAAGGGAAAGGAAAGGAGGAGATTAGATATAGGCCCCGGGCTGAAAGAGAAGACCCTGAATGCATTTTGACTATTTTACAGGAACTGTATGGGTGCTCAAAATCTTACGTGACTCTGCAGGAAGATTTCTTTTCTAGAAAGCAAAAGGAGGGGGAATCATTACAGGAGTTTTCACATGCTCTTGTCTGTCTGATGGAGAAAATAACTGTAAATGCACCTGGTGTTGTGTCTGATGCTGCTGTGCTCTTACGAGATCAATTTACTGAACATGTGCTTGAGCCATCTTTACGTAGAGAGTTAAAAAAGCTCGTTCGGGGAAACCCTGCTCTTACATTGCTGGACGTAAGGAAAGAGGCTATACAGTGGGAACAAGAGGGTCAGCCAGCTGATGTAAGAAGTAGAAATAACCACCTGACATCTTTTTGTGCTGTGCAGAACTCCCGAAGTAATAGATCTGCCTCAGTCGGTCCCAAGGGCCTCAGACGGTCTGTCAGAAATCAAGGAAATGCTGGTAAAACAGCAGGAACAGATTAACCTGTTGTCTCAAAGTTTGTTGCAGCTACAAGGGCCTTCTGGGTCCCAACATCTAAACCGAGCAGCCCAGATTATCTGCCGACGTTGCCAGAAGCCTGGTCACATAGCCAGGAACTGTTGCCAAAAAAGGGCTACTGCATCACAGCCTGGTAGAGAGGAGATGGTGGTCTCCCACCAGCAGATGGGAAACTAGCCCCTTCTGCTTTGCAGGGCCTCAGGGCAGAAGGAGGGGGATTTGGTCCAAAGATTCCTAGTGTGACAAGTTCTGTGTCAAAACTGGTAGGAGATTGTCCCATGGTTCTGGTGCAAATGGGGGGTGTTCCACTTCAGTGTCTTCTAGATACTGGTTCTATGGTGACCACTGTTACACAGAGTTTTTTTAACCAACATTGTCAAGGGGCCTTGCAGGCATGTTCCTGGTTGGAGCTTCATGCAGCCAATGGGCTGAGCATCCCTTATGTTGGTTATTTTGAAATTGATCTAGAAGTTTTAGGTAAAGTGGTACCTAGGAGAGGGGTGCTGGTGGTTGAGGATCCCCTGCCCCATTCTTCCCCATTGAAAGTGCCAGGGGTATTGGGCATGAATGTCATCAAGGAGTGTTATGATGAGCTTTTTAAGCAACATGGTGCTGCTCTGTTTGAGCTACCAGGACTCAGTCAGGCTGCTTCTGCGTGGCGTGTGGCTTTTCTAAAATGTCAGGAGGTTTCAGTACAACAAAGTGACTCCAAGATGGGTCTGGTCTGAGTAGGGGGTCGCAAACCAGTATGTGTGCCGGCTGGCACAGTAAAGCTGGTTCCAGCGACGTGCCCTCGAGCCAGGCTTGGCCCTCCATATGGCGTGTTAGTAGAGCCACTTGGAACAAAAGGGGGCATCCGGGGGGGGAGGGGGGGGGGGGCAGTGGTGCCACAAAGTATTGTAACAGTGGCCAGAGGCAGCACATATATCCCAGTTATGAACGTGAGTGAAAGGGATGTGTGGTTGCGTCCTCGTACGCCAGTAGGGATGTCTGGTCCAGCCCACATTGTCAGTTTACCACAAGGGGTGAGGGAGGGGGTTGGATCAGTCCAGGCTACTCTCTCTTCCCAGGTCAGCTCAGTGTCCCAACAGTCAGACAAAATGGTAAATGTTGACTTATCATCTATAAGCAGTGGGGATCAGGAAAGGGTCCGGTCCCTCCTAAGAAAGTATTACAGTGTGTTCTCCGCATATGAAGGGGACCTGGGTTGTACAGATCTGATGGAGCATGAGATCCCTCTGTCGGATGACGTGCCAGTGCGTCAAAGATTTAGGAGAATCCCACCTTCAGAGTATGAGGCAGTAAAAGCACACATCAGACAGCTGTTGGAGAGTCAGGTGATACGTGAGAGCAGTAGCCCCTATGCCTCCCCCATTGTCGTAGTGAAGAAAAAGGATGGGAGTATTCGTCTATGTGTGGACTATAGACAACTGAACAGCGCTGGGCAGCACAGCTAGCAGATTTTAACTTCACTATCCGTTACAGATCTGGCCGAACCAATGTGAATGCAGATGCCCTTTCAAGGAAACCTGGGGCCCCCACGGAGGCTGACATTCCCCTTCCAGGAACTTCAGTGCCGGTGCTGAGATTGCCCAGAGGTATTGACCTGGCTCAACAAACCATCCAGGCAGCCGTATCAGTTTTTCCGTCCTATTCCCATGATGACCTCAAGGCTCTCCAAGAAGCTGATCCCACCTTAAATACATTTATGGGGTTTTGGAAGACCCAGAAACCCCCAGACTGGGCAGGAAGAGCGAGTCTCTCGCCTCAGGTTTTGGAGCTGTGTCGGCAGTGGAGTAAAGTCGTTCAGCTAAATGGTTTGCTCTACCGACAAACGCAGCGGCCTGAAGGTGGGGAGGATATTAGTCAACTGCTACTTCCAGAGACATTGAAGGTGGAGGTCATGAAGCAGCTGCATGAGTACCATGGCCACCAGGGGGTGGAGAGGACTACAGAACTCATCAGAGAGCGATGTTACTGGCCGCTGATGCTGAGAGATATTAAGGAATGGTGCCACCAGTTTGAACGCTGCACCTTAGCAAAAGCCCCTCGTCCTCAGAGTCGGGCACCTATGGGACATGTACTGGCATCAAGACCAAACCAAGTATTGGCGATAGACTTTACACTGCTGGACCCATCTCAGGATGGTGTAGAAAGTGTGCTTGTGATGACTGATGTTTTTTCAAAGTTTACCCAGGCAGTGGCAACCAGGGACCAGCGAGCGGCGACGGTGGCTCAAATACTGGTGCATGAATGGTTCTACAAGTTTGGTGTCCCAGCAAGACTGCATTCGGACCAAGGCCGTCATTTTGAGAGTGCACTAATCCATCAGCTGTGTGAGCTGTATGGGGTTCAGAAGACATGCACTACACCATACCATCCAGAAGGAAATGGCCAATGTGAAAGGTTCAACAGAACGTTACATGATTTGCTACGCACTCTCCCTATTGAAAAGAAAAGCCGTTGGCCCCAGTATTTACCACAGGTATTGTACTCTTATAATACCACTGTTCACCA